TCACTGAGTTGCTGAGGCTGGCCTCCAACATGCAATCCTCCTGCCTCAGCCTACTAAGTAGCTTGAAATGCCATACATGTTTAAAATCTTTATAGCCCTATTCACCACTATGCTTGGGTATTTATTATTTAATAAGTATCATTATTTATTTAATAAAAATTCCTTACTAGTCTATAAGCTTCAAGAGACTTTGATGTGCACACAGTCACCATAAGATCCTATTAAAATGCAGATTCTGATTAAGTAAGTCTGAGATAGGCCTGAGAATTTCCATTGCTGATAGCATCCTTACCTCACCAATGCCAAATTAAAGTGTAGTCAGCATCCCACACTTCCAGAATCAAAGGTTCAGCTCTCTTGGGCCTCTTGTTCCCTACCCTTCTCTAGTGTCACAACCACTGGGCAAGTTTATCAAAGTTTTTTCCAAAAATCAGCCTTATGATGTGYTCTAGTGTCACTAGCTAATGTATCTTCTCTCTTTTCTTTAATCTAATTTTTTTAAAAATACTTTTTTTAGTTGTATATGGACACAATACCTTTATTTTGTTTATTTATATCTTTTATGTGGTGCTGGGATTGAACCCAGTGTCCCATGCTTGGCAAGTGCTYTACCACTGAGCYACAACCCTGGCCCCTTAATCTGATTTCTTATCAGGATTCTCAGGGTCCCACAAAGAATTCCCTCCAATTCTGGGGAACAATTAAGGTAAAAAGAAARAGGTAAAATCTTAAAGATTTAGTTTTAATATAAAGCTGACTGAGGAATGCTTAATACGTTTGCTAATCTGCCCTGCCTTTGAGGAATCAGCAACTTTATTCTTCTTTTTTTTTTTTTTTAGTTGTAGATGGACACAATACCTTTATTGTATTTATTTATTTTTATGTGGTGCTGAGGATGGAACCCAGTGCCTCAAACAGGTGAGACGGGTGCTCTATCACTGAGCCACAACCCCAGCTCAGCAACTTTATTGCAGCTGTCAGTTACACTCCTGGTCAATMTGTCCTGGTCACAAACCACATAAACAAGTGGAGAACTCTCATGTATCTTAAAGATGTCAGTTCAGAGAGAGAGGGTGCTGGGTTTCATGGGATAACTTCTTATCTTTACAAGCAGGACACTCCTGTCATAGAGAGAGGGTCCAAGGGACAGAGGGAGTCAAGGGCACTACTGCAGTGACTCTCACCTGGAGACATCAGGCCCTCCTAGAGAGCCCCCAGTACTTATGGGTAGTATAAAGTAAGACAAAAGGTTTTTTCTTTACATTGAATTGAGAAAATGGGTACTTGTAGATTTTTTCTTGACACTCTGGGARAGAAATTATGATGGGGATGGGGTGCCACCTTCCGAAGAAAGAGTACTTGGGAAATACTGCAGTAGCATGGAGCCAGGCGTGGTTACTAAGCAGAACTGGCCCAGCAACCTCACAGAATACTTAGGGAATTGTAAAGAGCAAAGTAAGGCTGTTTCTCCATCATTTGGGTTGTTTTCTTCCATTTCTTCTTTCTTCTGCCTCTGCAGTTCTCATCAATGAGTAAAATCAATGGATGTTTTACTTTGAATCTYCTGACCAAAGCAATGATGAGTAGTCATCAATACCAATTAGTATTCACGAGGCCCATGACAGACTCTCTGCTACCAGACTTTAGTCAGGCTCCTCTGAACTCTCTTTTCAGGTATCCTGAGCCTTGGGACTTCTCTATCTTGCCATGGCCCAGGTTCAGCAAAGTTCCTACTAAATTTACTTGGTAAGAGTCCCCACTCTTGGTGTCTGACCACTCAACATCTGATCAAATTTCTCCTCTACCACCACTGGAATCAAGTCACCCCAGTCACCCAGCCTGCCTTCAGTTACAATTCTGTCAATTTGGCTTAGCTAGAATTCCCCTTAGTCATGATCATTTTTTAAAAATTTTCTACCCAATGGCCCCTATCCTGCTTATGGGCTATGAAAACAGCACTGACCCATGCTGTATGTGAAATTGAGCCGAGTTTTAGACTTGAGTTCACATTCCCTATTGTAATAATGCCTGTATTAAATCTGTTTTCACTATGTTAATCTCTGTCTAGCTCTTGTTTTGACACCTACTCCCAAAATCATATAAGGTCACTATTTTTTTTGAGATAGCAGAATTACCAAAGTCAAATGGGAAAGGTGGATTCATTGCATTTTAATGATCAAATATGTTTGATATTTACCTCATGCTAGATGCTACACAGGGTATCAGACACACACTATCCCTCCCCTCTTGGGACATTTGATGTGGGCAATAAAACAAAAGAACCAACTGATCAATGTTTATTACAAACCTTTTGCATATGATAATAACTTTAAGGACCTTTAAAATCACAAATTAATACATTTGACTGCTTTACCTTGAGGGACTATGGTGATGGAATAAAAGCAGAGTAGCAAATAGAGCTGGACTCCATCACTGCCCTCATAGCTCCTAAACTGGTTTAACGTCATGTTGGCCAGTGGGGAGTGGATATGAATTTCAGAGAAAATGGAACAGGATCAACAATGAAATGAAAAGAGCAGCTTCCTGACACAGGGCAGCAGAGCCTGACCTGACATGAGCAGCCAAGGCTGCACACAAGTTGTGGATGCAACTTGATGCCTCTTCTTTATCTCAATCTTACCTCCTCCAGACCGCCATCTTACTTCAACTGAAACCAGTGATTCCACTCCTCTATTAAATGACATCTTCAGTGCATTTGTGCTAACAAATGAAACCCCAGGTTTCATTTATAGGTTCCCTCCAATCAGATTTCCCTCTTCAAGACCCTTATGTTCCAGCAACACTGTTCCTGGGGGCTCTCCAGGCTGCTTCTTGCTCCCATTCCTTCGCTTAGGCCAACCCTCCACCAGGAATGTCCTTTCCCCCAGCCGAGCCATTTGTCAGCAAGAACATTTTTGGAAATCTGAATGCTTCTCCAGGTCCACTGTGCATATCTTTTACTGACACCATYATGTCATAATGACCTGTTTGTGTGGCTGGTTCCCTTTTGACACTGTGAGTTGATGAATGCAATGGCTATATTTTATTAATTTTAGAATTCCCAAGCACCCAACAGAGAGTCACCCAGTGAATGCTTATGGAGGACAATAAAAATCTTTAATGCAGGAAAGAGTTTAAGGCAGCATTTGGTAGTGGTTCAGATCACAGGTAGGCTTAAAAGTCCAGTTCTGCTATTTACTATCTGGTTGACTTSAAACAAGGTTTTCTGGTTCATTAATGAGAGGCATGCCCACGCCCTTCTCATAGGGCTGTGGGGAGGAGTAAATGAAAACAGCATACAGAGCATTTGGCTCAGCTCAACCAAGGTAAGTTCTTTCCTCATCCAAACTGCATAGTCCCAATCCAAAATATCACCCCAAAGCAACTACTACAGTAAGATAATCCTGTTTTTAGCTAATGTTTAATTATAAGAATAAAGGTCAATTCTTGATAAACATCAAACTCTGATCCGATCTGAGAGCCCTGGGTCACTTCCTCCTCACTTCTTTGGAAGGCAGTATTTCTGGATTTCTTCTGCAAGAGACAGGCAGTGCAGGATGCGCTTCTTTTCAGCCGCCAGTTCCTTCTCAGAGAACTGGCCTAAGAGTTTCTGGACAAATATATTTTGATCTTTTAGGAAAATGTTCTTATTGACACCTACATTTGGCACATTCTCCAGGGACCCAGATTTGAAATGGAAGCTTAAATATCTGTTTCGTTTTAGACCAGGTCCTTTCTCTTCAATCCATGACAGTGGACTGCAAAGACAAGAGAATCTTATTGTTAAAGGTTACACGGGAATGGAAATAGGTGTTTGTTGGCACCTGACCTCCTGGTATGGGTCTGCATTTGGTACCCACCTTCCCTGCAGCTGTGGCTCAGTATGGTGGCTCAGTGGCATCCTGATCTCCACCACCTCTCATGGGTGGCTGTGTTTCCAACTTTACTGCCAAACAGTTATTTATGCATGTTTGCTACTGGGCAGGTGGATTTTTTGAAAGACTTTTGTGTAAATGTCAGTTTGTTCTTATAGATCCTTTAAGGGGATCCTGATATGGACCAGATGACAGCTACCTGGATTGTGTGCAAACTGTTTGTTTCCTTGGTGTATGTATTATTGATAAGGACAAATTCTTAGACTTCTGTCATCAGAAACTCAAAAGAAGTCTCTGAACTCAAACATATGCCAAACAATACCCACCACTAGTTAACAAAGAACCTCCATTTCTGTTTCATATTTCTGGTTGGGGTTCACATCAACACTCATAAAAATCTACAATCCAAGTAGGATAAWCTTGCCCAGTCTCTCTCCTTTCCCTGAGTTGTTTCTCTCTTTAGGGAAGATAAGAATTAATGATACCTGCTTATAGAACACTGAGCTATCTCTTAAGTAGAATTGACTTACAAGTAAATAGCTTCACTGAATATTATGATAGAAATCTACTTTTGTAATTTTTTTTTGTTTTTACAGTGCTGGGGATTGAACCCAGGGCCTTGCACATACCACTGACTTCCATTCCCAGCCCTGCTCTTTCAAATATACTATAAAAAACCCATAAAACAATAATTTAAGTATTTTTAAAATGGAAAAAGATTTTCACAAATTCTTGTACCTAAGTAAACACATCTTCAGTTTAACAATATTTTCAAATATTTATCAATATACATAAGGTATGTATATGGCACATAAACCCTAAAACAATAAGATTCCCCCTCTTTGGTACTGGGGATTGAACCCAGGGCCTTGGGCATGCGAGGTAAGCACTCTAATACAAAATTACACCCCCAGCCCCTTTTAAAATTTTATTTTGAGACAAGGTCTCATTAAATTGCCCTAGGCTGGCTTCAAATTTCAYGATCTGCTTCATCCTCCCAAGTAGCTAAGATGACAGGCATGGGCCACTGTACCTGGTAACAATGTTTGATCATTTCTTTTGCTTATTTAAAAATAATTTAATGATCATGTATATTCTGCCATTGTTTTTCTACATATATGATTGATTATATAATTTTTTACTATTGCTAAATATATGCACCCTTTCCAATTTTAAATTTTGGATACCTGAATTCAACATCTTCACATATGTCAATGTGTGGGTACATTCATATGTCAATTTGGCACACAYATATATCTTTCCCTTCTCTTTTTTTTGTAACAAAGTCCTAAGAGTGAAATGAAAGGTGTTGATCATCATTAACACTCTTTGCTTTCTCTTTTCTTTCACTACTGGGATGAGCCAGGGTCAAGGACAAGGTAATTTTGTTGGACTGTTGAATTCAGTGATAGAGCTGGCAGTGTGAACAGGAATGGTGTTAATCCTAAACATACATCACATGGGGCCTGGGATTTCTACTCCCTACTATTTGTCTGCAGGATGTCAAGCCTGGGGTGAGCAGGCGGATGAGCCATGGTAAAGAATACAGGGAAATCACCATCATCCTTTTTTTGTTATTTGCTTCCAGAATGGTGTGCCATAATAATGCAGCACGATTCAGCAAAAGGATTGCAAGGAGGACACTGAAGATTGTTTTGGGTGTTGCAGGAAGCACAWGGCTGCCTCCAACTTGAGTGGATAATTCCCTTTTGTGTTGACCTGATTAGATTAAGGAACAGCTAAAAACCTGGAAAAGCATTACTTTCGAGTGTGTCTGTGAGGGTGTTTCCAGAGGAAGTTAGCATGTGAGTTTGGGTGGACTCAATGGGAAAGATCTGCTCTCAATGTGGGTGGGTAACATTCAAYCAGTCAGGACCCTGGAGTGCACACAAAAGGCTAATTGGATTCTTCCCCTSAGAGCGGGGGCATGCTTGTCTCCTGATTTGTACTTTCTAAGTCCACGTTCTCTGGTCGTTGAACATAACACCAATGGACCCCTTCCTAGTTTCTCAGGCTTTCAGCYCTGAACCAAGAGTTACACTCTGGGGTTCCCTGATTCTGAGGCCTTTGGACTTGTACCGAGCCATGGTTACCAGATCCTGGGGTCTCCAATCTGTAGACAGTTTATCATGGGACTTCTTTACATGAGCCAATTATTTAATAAATACCCTCTAATCTATTTATATACAAATCATATTGGTTTTGTCTTTGGAGAACCTTGATATACTGGGGGAAGGTTAGCCCTCTCCTGGGTTAACCTTACCAAGACCAACACTGGAGTGTAGGACAATGCTTAAGAGGAAGAGATCTGAAGTGCATAAAATGGGGGCCACAGTGTAGCCACACATGCAGGAAGATACCAGGAGAGAAGATTATAGAACAACTTCCACATTTTGTGGCCTTGTCTTCTAAAAATCTGGAAAGTTTTACTCTTTTCTACTTGAAGGTTTAAGTGAGAACCCTGGCTATGGGCACTTCCACTTGGTGGAGTGGAGCTAAGGAGAGGGCCTGCTCCATTCATATGCTGGGCTGGGACAGCAACTGATTCCAGGCATTCCAACAAAAACACAGGCCTAAGTTCGCAGGCAGTTTCTCTGGAACTCCTCTCTCTCTCTGATAACCTTCATTTGCAAATATTTGCAGGATAAGATGGTTTCTTTCCCACCAGAAACAACATGCTGTATCAAGAGAACATAAACCCAGCAGGGTCCAACCTGCTCTGAAGAACTAAGTTCAGCTAGTTTTCTGTGCTGAAAGTAATTAAATGTTTCCTGTGTGCTTAGTACTAGCCCACAAATCAAAAATTCCTATTCAGGTCTGTCAAAGATTCCAGGAAACAGCCATTATATTGATCAAGTAAGTAAAACTATAGGGATCAAGCCATCATAAAAATTAATGACAGTTACAAACTCCACCAAAAAGTTGGTCTCACTTCATCTAAAATTAACTCTCCTGGCTAGTTTTGAAAGTTCACAGTGCAGCCTTGCAAATRTTCCAGAATGTGATAACAAAGATTAACTTTAATATAACTTATTCCTTTATTTTGACAGTGGATAAAAATAAATCTGGGGTATTCCAAACTGCTTTATCTTCCTAAGAAAATTTTTCATGTCTTTCCAAATAACATGGAGTCTTAAGGTTTAAGTGATAGAAGATGTCAAGATGTTTCTGTTCCTCTATTCCCGTCTCAGTAAAAATGAAGTAATCTTAGATGGGTACAGTAGCGCACACCTGTTGTCCCAGTACTTGGGAGGCTGAAGGAGGAGGAGGATCACTTGAACCCAGAAGTTCAGGGCCAGCCTGGGCAACAAAGTCGGACTCAATCTCTTAAGTAAATTAATAAATAATAAAGCTGGTATTAATTACATGAGTGTCTTAAGACAATCTGCTTGAATTTTGAAAGCTGCTCTTCACTTACTGGCAAATGAGTTTTTGTTGGTCTTTGCCTCAATTGCTGCTGTGAGGATGAAAAGAGGTAACGCGAGTGAAATCACAGTTCCTTACCTGCAGTAGCAGACAGATCTGGAGTTGAAAGACAGTGAGAGTTCTCAGGGCTCCCTCGAGGGTCACCCTTTTGGACAACTGAGGAGATCCTGAAGTTTGCTTCTCCTCAGTTTCTCAGGACTTACCATTTGTTTTCGGTCTCCAAGTGCACAGTCATTTTCATATACTGATCTTCTTTTCGCTCTTCCAAAGTGGCAGACACAAGGGAGAGCTCCCCAAAGAGAGAGACCAGCCAGGTCAGGCGAGAGATGCCACTGAATGCAGGGAAGCCAAACCGTTCTTTTTCCAAAGGGCCAGCTGTAGGGAATCACAGACACCATGGGAACTGGGAATAAAGGGCTGCCAGATGAAAAACAAGACCCAGAACACATYGGGGAGTGAAAAAAAAACAGGGCCAGGTGATCAGGACAAGAGACCAGGCCTTATGGGGTGGRTGTGCACAAAGATTAACAGGTGGGTAAATGTAAACTCTTTCACAAAAGGATCTCCTTTATTTTTTAAATAAAATTCAGTCTTGTTAGTAAAGTAAGAAATTCTGCTGGCAACAGCAGTCACTCCAGACAAAGAGAACAATAAAAAAGTTTTGGGTTTCTAATATATTCAATGCATTTATGTACATATACATAGATAATTGCATATCCATCCATACATTTCCTCTTCTATTAGTGATTACAAGTCATCTGATAAAAGTTGAAGAACAGGGGTATTTTATCCCTGAAATCCAGGATCATATCAATACCATATATGTAAATGGCAATGGGGCAAAGGTCACAATAGCTTGAAAGGCTGAGAGAATAGTAATAACTTTAAGCTAGTTTAACATCAATAAAGTTGGTCTAGTGTGAAATATTTTCTTGGTCTTTATAATCTTGTGTTAAGGGAAAAAAAAAGCACACCTAATATCTGTGTATAAATTGTTTGGTCACAAACAATACTGCTTCACTCTGCCCAAGCCCAAATATTAAAACATGACCTAAATTTAAAAGTCTTCATATCTGAGTCCTTATATATTATAAACCAAACATGTCTTAAGACTTTGAAATTCACCTAACATAATGGGTATGTTTTAAAAATAGTTATAAATAAAAGCAAACAAACATTAGTGAAATCTTTAGGATCGAAGTATCAGTTTTAGAAAGGAAAAAAGCTTCCTYTGTACAGATCACCAATTGCTCTAGTCCTGAGTCCTGAGCAGCCGCTAGAAGCTTGAGCCACACAAAGTCCAACCTGTCTCTATCAAAGGACCGGTGTCTGAACATGGTGAAGCTATTCCTCTCTGAGCTAACATTTCTTCACCTATATTATGAGGGTAATAAATACCCACTTTATGGGACTCTCACGAATTAAGAATGCTTGTCACATTCTTAGCATAGTTCCATATACAAGTCAATGGTTATCCCTGGTTGCCACAACTTTCATGTCATTTTCAAGAAGGAAGATAGATTTCAAAAAGAGGTTCCATTGTACAGTCTGGAAATTCATGCAGGGATAATTGGTCTTACAATTAAACAATACCTGGCCATGAAGGGGTCTGCTTTTTCTAATGAAAGCCCTCAGGCAAGATGGCCCTGATATCCCAGAGTATAGCCAGATAAGGAGTCCATCCAAAGTGCCACAAGAGCAGGTGGCTACATTATACTCACTTCCTATTGCTAACAGCTGCTCAAAGAATGACCAACATAAAGTCAATATTCCAATATATAGTAGACAAAATRCTGTAGTTGCAGGCCAATGTACCTGTAACTTGCTGGAGGAAGAAAGGGGCCATGCATATTCTCTTTTCTCTGCAAGGAGAAGTATAAAAATATTCTTCATTCCAAGCACCCATCTCCCAGTCCTTTTTAAAAGAGTTTTCATGTACAACCTCCTCTAGAAACATAATCTCCAACCAAAGATTTCAGAAGGGAAAATTTTGCTAAATAAATTGAAATGAAAGTATAAATTTGCATAAGATTTCTAATATACTTTTTGAGGCCCATGAAGCAATGAAATCTTTATAAGAAAATGAATAAAAATAGGTATTTTATTGCTCATGGAAGCATAGGGAAATTATATTAAATTGGCCTATGGTCAGAAAGTCTTTAGCAGAAATCAATCCTAGCTCACATCCTAGAGAGATAGTAAGGAATCCAGCTGGCCTTCTGAMCTCTTTGACCTTGATCCTTCCTAAAACTGACCTGTGAAGAGGAGAGACCCTTTCAGCAGTTCTTTTCCCACCACTTCTTTTTTCAGGAAAGCAAATTCCTCCATCAACAGTTCAATATGTTCCTCATGCAAAACTTTTCCTGTTTTGACAAAAATAGAATATGAAAGGCTGTCACTAACAGTTCTGTATAATCCTGGGATTATGTCTATTTTTCTTCAGAGGACACACAGAATTTAAAATAACTCCCTGGGCATACGGATGGCTACACCACGTACTACACACTTACACACCCTAGATGAAGTAGGTTCTAAGCCAAAGCTTACAGCAGAAATGAAAATTAAGGGAGCAGAATTGTATCCACCTGTCCTCAAAGGCAAAATAAGACCAGGGAAGTGTTTGAGAGCCAGCAGGGAGCTAGCTCATGTTCTAGACAGTAGGGGGCAGTGCAGCATAAAAAGCTAAAGCAGAAGAAAATGAACTATGAAGATTGAAGGGAGATAACATGACTATTCAAAGAATTGGAAGAACTASATGATTTTTTAAAAACGATCCTTCCTCCAAGGAAGGAGAAAGTCTTACWTAGATTAAAATAAAGCCATTAAATTTTTTTTTTTTTTTGCCCTGGTGGACTTTTTGTATCTGGGTCAGAAGCTTTGTAAAATATTAAAACTATTTTGTGATTAAGGGCAAAGTATAGTTGTGATCGACAATTTCACTGAAGCAGAATCTGGGCCACTAGAAGTTGCTCCTGGGACACCTGTCTTTGTCCAACCCAGCATCACAGGAAACACTACCAATGTTCTCAGCTTATCTGTACCCCAGGAGTGAGCAGGTATGAATCCCTCTCAGTTGGCCTCCTAGCACATTTCCATGGCAACAGGAGTATTTTCAGATACRCAGAGGCTTTCTAGCACAAAATGGCTTAGTTTGTAGAAACTAAATGGCACAACCCTGTCTGCAATAAATAGAAGCTTCTCTACTTGTGGGTAGTTCTGTCTATACTCTGAGGGGTCCCTGGGCAGCAGGGAAATTGGATTGTATTTGGAAGCATGCTGTGTTTCCATAC